ATTCATTCATAATGAATGGAGTTGCAGTCTCTGATGGGAGAATTGCTCAAGACCTGAGCTAATCTGGTAAAAATGTACAAACACTCGCCTTCGATAGCATTGACTAAAGTTATTGTTGACCAAAGTGGATAAAGCCTAAGAAAGTGCTTTAAGGAACTCAGCACAAACCTGCTTCTCGGCTCTGGGCCTCGGTTTCTTCAGTGTTTTTCTTCTCTGTGCCGTTACCACCTATTGAGAAAAACACATAAAAATTGTTTACGAAATATCTTTTTATTGGTAACAGCAGCAGCAGTATTAATTACAACCAATTCAGCACAAACTGCTAATTTACAGCAAAGCACCGTGTTAAGAGGGGAGAAATATAAAGGTAAACTGAAAAAAACCTGCAAACAAAACCAGTTACATTTAAAACAGTCACATTTTCACATCTCAAGCTGAGGAAAGAGGGTTAGATTAAAGAATTTCTCTCAATAGACACACTGGAAATATCTGTATACCAAATAAAGGTACGTTTCCCTAAACAATGTCGGCAATAGTTAGTCAGTCTATTTTATACAGACTTTTTTTCTCCAGTAACATTTCCACACGATCCTTGAAGTGGCTGTGTTTCCAACTTGCAGCACCTACTTTAGTGCCTACAGAAGGTAAGAATAGGAGGGGGAGAATCGCCCAAATTTTATTTTAAAGCAAAAGGCATAACGCCACTTAGCATGAAGTATAAAAACACATCACAAATGACTGCAAAGAACAGCGCAAAAAACCCCAAAGTAAGACTGCTAGGATTGAACGCATTTTTTCCCCTTTTTACATTTGCATTCATTCCCAATATTCTCCGCTACTTTGCATTTGCATTCATTATCCATTTTCTTCCCTCCAGCTCTCTTTTGGAAGGCAGGTACCCAACAGTGAGTTACCACTGAGAAAAGTAATACCCTGGGGAACGTCTTATGGACACAAGATCAAGCTCTCTTAACCTTTGCTTGGCCCAATTAGAAATATATCAGGAAGTCTGCATTTTCAACGATGGAGAAGGCTCTTTTAGCTTCATAATAATACTAGAGGCTGCAGTGCAGCATGCTGGATCAGAGGTGATGGCTACGCTCCCTCTTTTCCAGCATGGCGAGGGAGACGGCGAGAACAGCTGAGTACCAGCCTTAATGAGGCATTTGAAAAAATGACTGCTGAGCATATATACTGGGAGAAAGGAAATTCATTCCCAGGCCTGTAAATGGCTTGATAATGATACACATATTTTTTGCAGTGCTCTTTTCTGGTTCCTGGGTTTTTCCGATTACAGCTTCTCTAAAGCAACAAGGTTAAAGCTCCTCGCGCCACCACCTTGCTTTTACTTAACACACAGAGTCTGTTGAAGAGAACAGCAGTAGCCCAAACACAATTAGGTGGATGGAAGAAAAACAGAGAAAGCAAGTGTTTTTCAAAAGCAAACGTGCATCTGGTGGCACGCCGCATTCGACTAATATTTAAAGGCTGAGGTGCGACATTCTCCTGCTTTCCAGCAAGGCAATACATCCTGGCGTCCAGCAGATGGGACTAGCGGAGAAGTATTTCCAGGCTGACCCTGCACAGAGCTGCTCTCCGGAGGAGAGGAGATGGAGGAGGAGTTTGACACCCCACCTGAGAGGGGAGAGGTGGGCAGGGAGCGGCTGATGGCCGTCAGCAGGGACTCGGGCCTCCTGCCTGCTTGGAAACTCTTTGTACCATTTTAACCAGCCTTAATGGATGACTAGCTGTATGATTTCTTAGCACATTAGTGAGTTCGAACCGGTAAAAAATTGCATTACATGGATGACCAAAATGGCTTGATAAAACCAGCTGGGTTTTTCCTTTCCCTGCTTGAAATCAAACAGTATTATTTTCAAAATCAGCGTTTTGCCTGTCCGCAACGCAACAGGAGGACAGCATGCAAAATAGAAAGTTAGCTGTACTAGAAGATAAACTTTTCTCTCCCCCCTCCCCTTTCCTTTTAAAACATAGGCTTGGGACTTCACAAGGTTTGCAGCAAGCAGTTAAGAAATAAAGAAAAAAAATCCTCTGCATCACCAGGATGCGTTTCAAAGGGATAAAGTCACCTAGCTCAAGAGCTGCGGAAAGGATGTTCAAGACAATCCGGTAACACAACAGTGCAGTGACACTGAAAAATCTTTACCATTAGGTCAGATCCAAAGAGAATATTGCATCACTGCAAAACAAGCGGTGCCAAAGCATAAAGTGTTTAATTATGGCCACGTGCAACGCGTTTCGCTTTGCCCAGAAAGACTTTACATTCAGAAAAAGCACGTCAGGCATAAATGGTAACTACCGATGTATCACTGAAAAATCATTTCAGCAATTACCTTGCTGCATTCACAATGTAAAACTACATTTCCGGACGATACTTGTTTCTACAGCCATTATAACGAATATGACTATAATCATGAGTTATTTGGCTAAAACCAGGTATTTCAAGGACTCGTTCATGTTTATAGCCAAGGGACTACATCTCTTGTTAAAGTCATGTACACAGAGCAAACTCAAACTACAAAAAGTTTAATGATCATCTGGTTCACCAGATTATCACACAAAGCACATATTCAATCAGTATGTTTTGTTGATCCCAAGTCTGTTGTTTCACTGGAGAGTCACTGTTTAAAACTGGTATAATAGAACGATAATTACCGCACTATATATTAGATTCTCAACATCTTTTCCATCTAACACTTCATTTTGTTCCTTTAGAAAGAAAAATGTAGAAGACTTTAAACAGAAGCTTCACCTCTTGTACTCTGACCCAGTCCAACAGACTGACGGGATCGTGACACGAAAATGAATCTCGATCAGCATAAAGTGCCTGTTGTGCATATGAAGTGACTTCGATAGAATTAGAGAGAAGGAAATGCTAAAAAATTAAGAGTGGACAAGTGATCCTCAAGTAAATGACTTGCAGAAGGAAGGGTTAAGCTCTGCTTGGCCTGGAGAATCTCTTCATCTCAGGAGAAAGGAAGGAAGCAGAGTACAAATACATCGATGAGAAAGCAAACTGTAGGGTGGAGAAGTGACTAATCCCAAAGTGTCTGACAAACAGTTTTTTCCCGTTTTTTAAAAACCTTTCTAATGAGCCTCTCACCGAGTGTCTTCTACTGATGAAGAGTCTGTAATTACTGCTCTCCATTGGAGCTGGGTGCAGAACAAATGGAAAGGCTTTAAGCAGCACACGCTCAAGGCAAAGAGCTGAAAATATATTTTACAACAGTAGCAAGCCAGTTTTTCATGATATTTTTATTCACCCCCTGCTCTCTTTTTCTCCAGGCAGTCAAGCCAGACCCAGTGCATTCCCCTTGAGCCTTCCCCATGACATTAATAATAATAAAAATATCTTTTCCACTGGACAGCTTCTACAGTATCTGCCATCCTGCTCTTTCCGCTACTGCAGCAACTGGCAATTGCATTTCCTTTAGGTGAAAGCTGTCCTCACAATATCTGCTTTTCTATTATACTAGTAATTGAACAGCAATCTGTCACTCACTCCAAAGGAGATAGAAAAAGTGGCGAATGACATGTCGTGTCATTTTAGGCCAGCAAATGTAAATGATTTTGAGCCACATCAAAAGACAAATAGGAACATCTGTTTCTTTTCCCCAGCATAGCAGTCAGTTGAAAAAACAGGAGTTTGAGAATTACAGTAGCACCATACAAACAAAATAAGCACACTGGACACTAAAATACCTACCTCTGGCCATATATTTTGCTTTCCCTTGCCAAGCTGACTACTGCCTGATAGGCGCTTGCTCTCTCCTCTTGGCCTTTTTCTTTGAGATCAGCACGAAACGCCACCCTCCCCCATGACATATACCCTCATTTATATTTCGTAGAAAACAGGCCAAACAGTGATCAATCAGCACACTCAGCAAGCTGGCAGAGCAAGCGGCACTTCTAACTAAACTAGAAAACCAGATACTCTGCGAGTGCCCGCCCACTTAATGTTAAGGAGAGGTATTTAGCACGCACAGGGACATGCCAGCTGCAGTAGCAGCCCCAAAATGAAGCAGATGATATGACAAGTAGTAAGCCAGCAGTCAGATGGGAGAGGGCTGGGACAAGATCCCTATGAAAGTCCAGAGGACAAACTCTCAAGCAGCAGCACCAGAGCAGGTTGTAGTATTCTTCCCGTTTTCTCTCCGACAGCCTGGAGCTATGTGGCTTTTTACATCTTTCACCGTTCCTGCGACAAACGTGGCAAGTAAAAAAATATTAATAGCCTGGCTGGCCTCTTGGCTCTTCTCATTTCAGAGCTGAGTAAGTGCCAGGTTCGCTCATACACCTACTCCTCTTCAGCAGTACCTTTCTTCACAAGCAGTCAGCGAGGTACTTAGAGCTGAGGTTCAAGTCAGTGTCTCAAAAACTGGTGCAAAAAAGATATTTTCCAAAAGAAAACAGACTTGCAGATAATTTTTAGTTAAAGGAAGAAATTTTGCCTAGCCGGTACAAACCAGTCTACTTCTACCCCTCCAACACAGATGACATAAATAATAAAATTGTTTCCACTACTGAGAAAGCTGTACTTGTATCATTCACAGTGTGTTAACAGTCAGCGTAAGGTTCCTTCAAACAACCTCCTCCTTCCCGGAGCAGAAATAAGAGAGACCGAGGGCCAACGCCTCAGGCTCCCATCCTGTTTGCCACTCTCGCCTATCTGTGTATGTACCACATCCCCGAGCACCAGCTTTGCCCCTGTTCCATCCCCGCATGGCTCTGGCCACGCAAGGCTGGGTGCATCCTCTGGTTCTGCCGGTGGCCGGCGACTGTGCATCTCTCCCACGGTCAGGCCTGTGAATGTCTCTTAAAGCTGGGCCACGCTTCTATGAGAAATGCAAATACGATCCAAGATCTGGCAGATAAAGGATGCCAGTTTGGAATCATCATTTTTACAGTACAAAAATATTGCCATGGTAATTGTACTAATGATATGAAGGTCTTTCTAGGATAAGAGAGAAACTAATTAATGAGAAAATTAAAAATACAGGCCTTGATCTTACAGCTGTTACATTCTGCACACATGAAGAGATATGCTGACTTCAGTGAAAGTCCTAAAATGTGAGAAGAAAGCACACTTATATCCATGTATACACTGAGGATCATATAGCCTGCAACCGTTTTCAGACTGTTTCAATGGCAAAACGATGTCAGACGTAAAACAAGCGGCACATAAACACAAAGGCTACGACTGTAGA